TCCACCGGCTGCGGCAGGTCCGACAGGCCTAGACAGAGACTGGTGCCATGCCTTGTACTTCAGTCCGTGCATGGCGTGCGGGGCAGGTGAGGAGACCGTCCCCGTTCGGCAGTCTCCCAAGTCGTTTCCGGCTGAGCCGCATTCAATCATCAGCGTTCAGTCGAAAAGGAGCAACAGGGACTCCCGGAGTTTCTTGGACGACATCAAGGCAGTTTTGTGGGTTCAGATTTCCTTGCCGGAGTTCATTGTGCCCGTGCGGAGGCACAGCGCTTCGAGCTGAAATCCGTGGAGACCACAACGCCCGTGTCAAAGCCTGAGAAAAGAGCGCCAAGCGGAGCCCTTTATGGCGAAGCGAAGGGGTTGGCAGTATGAGGTCGACGACAGGTGAGGGCCTGATGGGAGCGCTCTCAGCTGGCCTGGCGAAGGTGAGAAAGGCGACGCACGGGGACGAGGAGACGCCACAGGAGGGGCACTGAGGGCACTTCAAGCTTTTTGCGGCTCAGGAGGAAGACGAAGACGATGGCGAGTTTGAGTGAGTGGAAGTGAGAGGCCGCCCTGGCCTAGGGGAGTCTAGGTCGGCACCGGTGCGAGAAAAAATCCGACGCCGACGCCGACGTCGTGTCAGAGCGGACAGCCTGCCACACGGATACAAAACGCCGCGGTGGATTGGAGCTGAGGTCTGCGGCTAGCGGCAGCCTCAGGGGGCCACCGGGCCGCCGCCAGGCGCGGCCGCGCGAGCGCGCTGGGCGCGCGAACGGGCGAGGTGCGAGGGGGTCCGGATGCGTTTTCCTACAACCTGGTCATCAAGAAGACGTGCGATGGTCTGGGGCTCTTGCTCTCACGCGCACAGCGGAGAGCAACAGCGGCACTAGAACGGCACACGGTGGAGGTTCGTCTTGGCAATGTGCCCTCTGCCTACTCAAGGCCGGGGCGGGAAAGGGCCCCAAGAGTTCCGAAGCCGCACTAGTCACTCACTAGTCTGACTAGCATCAGTGGTGACTTCCACATTTGGTCTCAGCAGGAGATGGACGAACAACAGCTGGCGGTTGACATGCTCACGTACCACATGGCTGGGACAATGCAAGCGAAGTGAAGCAAAGAAAGAGCTACTGTGGCATGAATCGGGGCAGGTCATGACCGCTCAGATGAATGGCGTCGGACTCAAGCTTCCTCTGCTTTGGAGACACAACATCTGTGCCGGCAAGGGCCGCGTGGCAGGTTTGCATTGGGCTGAGTGCCTGGCTACGTTGCAGGTTCTTGGCTCGGCAGTGCAGCTCCTACAGTCGTACAGCCGACTGTTCACTGCCATCAACAATTGAAGGCTATGGAGGAAGCACACGTAGACGATCCAGGCATGGAGTGGAAAAAGGTAAGCCTAAGTCAGCCATGCAGCAGCCGTGCAGTTGTGAAGGCATCCTCGCCTATGGGCCGGCAGTTTCTTGAGCTGGAGTATCATCTTTAGCAACTAACTGAGCACAGTCGTTAGCCAAGGTTGGCGCCTGTTTGAGAACTTTGCAATGGGAACAGGCACTTCTCATCGGCACTGTGCTGAGCTTCGCAATTCTGGTGTTCACGCGCGGAACATGGCGGACCCAAGCCTTTCTGACAGTCCAACGCCTGCGACAGCGCCGCCAATTGCCCGATTCGCCCGGTGACCTACCGGTCTGTTCCGTACTTGTGGTGTCCGCAGCGCACATGGTTTCATAGTGTTCCTATGTGTTCGCTGTGCCCCGTCCTGCAGGCTCTCGGCCATCTAGTGGCCGTCAGAGTGAATTGAACTGTCCAAGGCCAATGATGAACTCCTGCATCACTGTGCCGGCTTCTTGGCCACCTCGCTGCAATTCCACTCCTTTCTTCGCCCCGGCCCCCGCAGAGGTGCGAGCGTGCAGGGCAGTGGCAGCTGGCACTGCAGATCTACCGCGACATGTGTCACTCGGCTGGGAGCTAGAAGACGCTGCCGCGGAGCTGAGATGACGCATGCGCCTTTTGAGAGGGCCAGGAAACACAGCGGCCCGGCGACGGTGCCAGTCGGATGGACGCCGGCTGTGCGCCGAGGCCTCTTCGGGCCAGCTCCGGACGAGACGACGCCGGGGCGCCCGGAACGCGGGAGGAGGACAGTGCCTTTCTGTCCTTCAGTCTCCTACCCTGGCTGTAGGTGCAATGCCGCCCTCGCAGCCTGTGCAAGGACCGCTGTTCCGAGTAGAGGAGAGACAGCGGCGCCAGCGCAGAGCTCGGTTGTTTGGGTGCAGGGGTACGCGCTGGCAGTGGGCCCTGGATCTCCTCGCCAGGCTCGGGCAAACATGGGAAAACGCAGAGCAGTGCGGTGCAGAATTCCTCCCGATTTTGACTGAGGTCTGAGTCAGAGAGGCCCGAGGCCTTGGGATGCGTGCTGGAGGCCCTTCAGCTCTCAGCCAAATGGCACCAGGCCAGAGCAACGGACAGATCAGAGCGAGAGAGATGGAGAGACGCTACTGCGCTTTCTCGTTGGAGAAATCGCTCCGAAGAACGAGCCGTGGAGTCGGAAAGTTCACGGTCACTTCCTTTTTCGGGTGTGGGGCCGGCGCTCTCCACGATCCGCCAAGTACACTGTTCTTCCGGCTAAGTGCGGCTGCGCAACCAGTGTGTTAAAGGCGCCTGGTCCGCGGGTGAAGCATGGGGAACATTGTGGAACTGAAGCTGGAAGCCACGGGTGGGTCATGGCCATCCGAGACAATTTCTGAGGAGGTTGCCAGCTCAAGGGATGTCTGAGATAATGCTGGTTCGGTCGGCTTCGAGGCAGGTGGACAGCAAAAGCCGTAATTGGTTTGACAGGCCATGGAGCTTTGGTCTTTGCAGCCGTGCCTCGGCATAAATGAGACGGCGCAAGGTGCGGCCTTTTCATGTTCCGAGCCCTGGAAGGAAGCCGAATGTGATCTGCACTTCATCAGTCTGCCCAAGCCCCAGGCGCTTGCAATGACTGAAGGAGGGAAGCGCATGGATTGTGTTAACTGTCCAGCCGCAACGCACCTCACACGCGAGCTGCTTGAGCATGCGCTTTCTGCCAAGCTACCAAGTGCTGGCCTGCTCCCGCGCCCAGCGCTGGCCACGGGTTGCTGCGCTCCAAGAGGCCCAACATGGAACAAGCAGCCGAAGGTTTTTGGAGAGTGGCTGCAGAGTGCAGGACTCCGCCGATTCCCTCATGGAGGCGAGAAGGGGAAACTTCTACAAAAAGCAGCATCACTATCTGTCCGTCGCCAGGCATCTCGAGACCTGCATCGAGGCAGGAGACGTCGGCAGGAGCTTTCGCGTACCGGTATCATCTTCCGTCTCACACCAGAGGTGTCCTGGAACTTGCCCACGCCAACATCGTGGTGGCCTTGCTGGAGACGTCGCGATGCGATGCTCTCAGCAGCTTCGCGGGCCTCTGCCTGGCGTGCTGCTGCAGGACGCTTTGGAGGTGTACAGGGAGCGAGAGGCCAGGCGGCCAGGACGTGAAAGGGGCTCGGACCCGCACCTTCCCAGGCCGCCGCTTTCAGAAAGACCCTCTACGACCCGGCCAAACGTCAACTTGTGCGGCTGTCCAGGCTCAGCGGAGTCTTAATGCCTTGGTCCTTGCATTCTCAACCGCAGGTTTGCTGCTGTTCCAGACCTGATGGCAGGGGAGGCTGGGTCTCACTCTCTCCCGGAGCAGATGCGCTTGGCAGTGTCTTGAGAGCGTGCCCAAGCCAGGCCGTCCTCCGCTGCAAGCTGCTCGAACGGCAGTCCTCCCTAGGCACCTGGATAGCGGCAGGGAGTGGGAAGCTTGCAACGGCGTTCAACGGCAATTCTCGGCCCTCGGCTGTATGCAGAGCAGTAGTCAGCGCCGTCAATCGCAACGCATCCTCGTGGTTGCAGCTAGAACTGTGATTGATGCTGGCTTGCTCTGAAATTCGCCATAGTGGCTATGCGGCTGTGCCATGTAAAGCTTGCACAAGTGTTGATGCCGAACTCTTGAAGACCGTCAGTCCCAGTGATGTTATCCCTGGAGACTCTTGTTCCTAACCGCGGTGTTGCCAGGCCGGTCCCACCTCTAAACGCGACGAAAGCACGGAAACTGCAGGGTCCACTGCAGACGCAAGGGGCTCGCATGGCTCCCAAAAGCAGGCCGGCCTCCTGCGCTAGGTGCTGCAGCTGAGCCTAGGACCCTAGGATTTCTTTCCGGGAAATGACATGTTGGGACAAGCCGGGACCTTCGGCCTGTGGCTACAGGGTGGAGCTCAACCAATCTTTGTCACGTTACTGTATCGAGTTGTGTGACTTCGCCTCTTGACACGCGCGGCGCGCGGTGACCCGAGCGTGGCCGCCTTCCCCGGAATTTCAGGGACCTCGCTCTCTGTGGATGCGGCGGGGCTGTAGCAACGCAGCATGTGCTCGGCTGCTTGCCAAAGACGAGCATGTGCAGAGTCCCGCCCATGCAAGTTCTCGAAGATTCCCGCTTCAACAGCCTGGGTGCTGCTGTTCAAGCAAGGGTATACGTTCGCCAGGACGCTTCTTCGTACACCGCTTCTGCTCTGAGCTGTTCGGCAGCCCGAGCAAGGTGGAACATGGTGGAACTTGGAAGGGGCTTTTTTCTGCTTTGTCTTGGACTGGCGGTGCAGGTCCAAGGAGCCGGTGCCAAAGCCTCCAGAAGGGCGATGGCTCAGGTGCTGCGCAAGTCCAGATCTTCCGAGACAAAGCCGAGCCAAAGCCGCCTGTCAGGCAGGAGGAATCTGGGATGAGAGGCCGGTGGCAAAGCACATCCTGGCCTGGGTAGTGCCAGATCCTCGGGATGTGTCGAGTCGGAGATCTCATCACCGTTTAGGCATCCCCCCTTTCGTGTAGCACTCTCCGCCACGCCGAAGCCGCTGTGCTGTCTGTGTTCATGCGTTTTCGAAACCTAAGTGCTAGGGAATCTGAGGCCTTCCCAATTGTACGGTCAGCGAGCCACCATAATCAAGACCGGACCACACCAGCGCATGCATCCTAAAAGGGTTCTGAAAATCGTTGCGATGGCGCTAAATATTCGCCTGGGATTCGGGAACGTGTGGGATGATCTGTGGTTGGACGGGACCGCTTCCAGAGGGGCCCTTGACGAGGCTGATGTGTGGGCCTGTGTGCTCGTGATGATCACTGGCAGGTGCAGGCTTCCTTGGCTTAGTGGCAGCGAGCTCGGACCTGGCAGTTGCTCAGCGGGCAGCTCTTGGCAGCTCTTGGCAAAGGGGCTCGGCTCGGCGGACATCGCGTTGATCACGAGGAGATCCGAAGCCGATCCAAACTTCTCCCGCTTCATGCCCGCTTCCTAAAGGGAAGAGCTTTCCACAGCATGGCTTGCTGTCTCTTGCCCCTTGAGACTCCACGAGGTGGAACATTCGCGGGCCCCACATGCCGAGCGCCAGGATCGGCCGTGCTTCGGTTGAAGAAGTTGTTGCTGTGCTTGCCCTCGCTGTCGCGTGGAGGTGCTCCGCGACATCTTGCAGAGATACATGGCGGTTCAAAAGTCTTCGCCAACTCTGCATCATGTTGAGATGTTCAGACTCTTCCATGCCGAGACAACGAGACAACAGCCTCCTGACCTCAGCAGTCCGGTCCAAGCAATGGGCCCTCTGCAAACTTTCCATGCCGAAGCTGCTTGGGGATGAGCGCCGACGCGGCGGCCGAAGCGGCCGAAGCGGCCGAAGCGGCCGAAGCGGAGTGGCTTTTGCTGCTCCAGCGCTCCTTCGCTGCGAACCGAGCTCGCAAAGGCCAAGGCCTCGTCGGCCCGAGAACCTGGAAGCAGGCCCGCGGGCGCGCGGAGACCACCCCGGCCCGGACCGACCTCTCTTCCCCCTTTCTGCTCTCTCTTTGTGTCGCTTCTCTTCTTCCCTTCCCTTCCCTTCCCTTCCCTTCCCTCTGATCGGTCTTAGGTGATCCCCGTGGTGGGCCGTCGGTACCCCGACGAGATCTTCAGCGCCCTGCGCGGAGCAGGCTGCCTGGCCGGGCCAGATCCCGCGTCGCAGCTCCTCGAACTCCGATGCTGCCTCCCTGTAGCAGAGCGTGGTGCCTTGGCCTGAGCGCCTTTGGCCTAGGATGGCCTAGGCACACCCCAGTCGCACTTGCAAGACCACGACATCGCGCTCTGGTTCTGGTGTGCAGGAAGCGCGACTTCGGGCACAACATGCGGAGAGTCACACCCCCAAACTATCGTGGGGATCCAACGTACATTCGGAACTGTGCACGCGATTTCGTGAGGCGGACGCGAGGACTGGCAAGAAGACGAGCCACACCCGAAAACGTGAGGTGCGGTTTCCATCCCAGAACACCTCCGAATACGCGCGGCACTCTGCCGAGCACGCGATTCAGCAACTTCGCGTGAAGACTTCACTTTTGAATTGCGTTTGGGGTCCAAACACCTCCTGTGAACGCGATTCCTCTTCACATCGGGGGCGCGAGACAACGAACGATCTGAAGAATTTCATAGCCTTACCATGCTGGTTCGGGGAAAGAGATGTCTTCCCAGTTCACTTTCCAAGAAGCTCAGGGTGGCAGCCCTTCGTCGCTCGTCTGACTCCCGAAGATGGTCCTTGCGGAACTTTGGACGGGCTCATGTCCGTGGACTTTCGGCAGGGTGCAAGCACGAGAGAGAGGCGGGTGGAAGTGCAATGTTGTTTAGTGTTAGCGGAGCTTCCGCTAGCGAGTGACCGCTTGACCTGTGGCCCCTTAATTTCGGCTACGACCAGCGGGCCCTCTTGAGCCTTTTGTCTGCTGTAGCAAAACATCCGCGAACGCATGTGCATTCCTTTGCTTGCCTCTGTGAGTGCCGAAGCTTTGTCAGTTGGTACCGGAGCCTGGTACGTGGCGACCGGCAAGAGCTGGCGGCTCTTGAACCGCCGGGTGATCCCGGGTGTCCCTCGATGCCCTTCGTGACTTGGAGACCTTCGGTGCCATCAGCAGTTTTGTCGCTGAAGCAGCCACTGGCCGAGGGCACCGGCTGGGTTGACCGTGAGAAGGATCCGCCGCCGGCGTACTCGGGCAGTCACCCGCAAGTTACGCTCAAGCAGTGGCTTCGAGACTTGGAGAAGGAGAAGCAGGGCCTGAAGATAGCCCAGGCTTTGTCAGCGCAACAAAGTCGGTCGTCGACGCTTTGGAGGTCAAGGACATCAAGGGTGGCAAAGCTGACGGAATCGTTTGAGCCTTACACGGAGACCGCCCAGCCACGGGCGGTCTAGCAAAGAGTCGGTGGGTGACTTGCTGGTCAGGCTTGCTTTGCTGAAGAAGGCTGAGGGCTACCTGCGGTACCGCCAGAGCAACCTGACCCCGGGACGATGACAGCAAGCTGCTCACCCGGCTGGCTGGCGACTTCGACGTGGCCCTCAAGAAGTTGGTGTGCGTTCGTGCCGATGGCAAGGCTGGCCAATGAGGGCGACAGGAGGTAAAATTGGATCAAGTCGACAAGGACGAGGTCATGGATGTCCTGGCCTCCTATCAGCAGATTCGTCAACAGCTTCGTGATCAGCGCAAAGGCCGTGGCTTTGTCTGGAAATGCCGGACTCCAAAGCAAAGTCGGCCAGCAAAGGCGGGAAGCCGGGCAAGACCGGCAAAGCTCATGAACAGGGTAGGCTGCATATAGAGGAGTTAAAGTTGAGGACAAGATGGCGTACGTGTGGCCAAGTGGGCCACTGGCCCCTTGAATGCCGTCATCGTTGCGCAGGATCCGCGGTGTCGGGTCAAAGACCGCGGGGGTCGACATCCTCAGGCTCGCCTTCAAAGGCCTCGAGCTTCCGCTGGAACAGTGGTTCGAGGCAGGCGGCCTCATTCTTTGCCTTCGGACAGGCTTTGCGGCTTTGCGAGCGACGCGGGAAAAGGCACCGGCCCAGGTTGCACCCTCTGTTGGCATCACCGCCATGGAGTCTCAGGCAGTGGTGCACATCCAAAAAAGCCCCGCCCTGCTCTCCTTACGCTTTGCGGGGCCCCTCGGAGTTCAGATCCATCGCGTGGACAAACAGTCGGAGGCCAAGCTCGTGTTGCGGAAGTTTGTGAAATCCTTCTTGGAATCGGGGAACGCCGCCCTAGAAGCAAGCATGGTTTCTGAAGACGTGCCGTTGCTTGGTGGCTAACCGGCGACCTCTCCGAGCGAGGACCTTGCCTTCGAGAGGCCGAGCCGTCTGGGACCCTCCTGGTGGTGGATAAGGGCATTTTGCGACGACAGCACGTGAAGTGGAGGAGCCATCAGTGTAGCCCATGCGAAGGCAGATTTGACTGGAAACGGTCGGGGCCACGCTGCGCCGCGAGGGCGGCGAGGAAGTGGAAAGGCTACACCGAGCTGTACCTGACGAAGAAATCCGTCGAGGAGGTGAAAGCGGCGCACCCCGAAGGCAACTACGCAATTGCGTCTACTACGCGTTCGGATGATGCGAAGGAAAAGGACATCACAGAGGAGCGTGGCCATTGTGGCTCGAAGAGGACGCAGCAGAGTGGGGCAAGATCCTCAAGGGCCGTGAGGGTATTGAGTTATGAGGAGTCGGCCAAGCTGAGAGAGGAGGGGAAGCTGGATCGCATCATTGGTTCCCGTTTCGTTCGACGTCCGAGCAGATGGGCGAAGCACGTCGGAGAAAGAGCCGCTTTTGCATGATGGGTGACCAGGAGCTACCGCCTCAAGGGTACCTGTGGGTGTGGGGACGTCAAGGCAGCAGTTACCCAGTCGAACCCCCTTCTTGTGGACAAGGGAAACTTTACTTCCGGCAGCCCCGTGGGTTTGCCGGGTATGGCCGCCGACCAGCTCATCGAGATTGCGGTTGGCGTTTATGGCTTAATCGACGGGCCGGTGCACTGGCGTAAGACGCTCACCGGCTACGTCACCTTCAAGCTCTACTGTGATGGCGCAGCATCGAGTGGCTGGTGTTTTGGCGATTGTGATATAAGGCCGGCGAGGCTGCACGAAAGCGGCAAGTTCAAGGACCTGAATAAAACACCATGTTTAACGGACGCTTGTTGCCGCAGGCCCCGGACGGCACGATCGCGGTGACCATGGAGAAGTTCGTCCTGGAGCGCCTGGCCCCGATAACCATTGCGCGCAGCAACCGGAGGATGCAGCAACGGATGAATGCCGAGAAGACAGCCGCCCGTGGCCTGATAGGGTCCATAGGAAGCCAAAGCCGCCAAACTCGTTCTCACGAGCCACCCGATTGCTCCAGACACGCTTTGCTGGGGAACGGCGACGGACTCAAGCTACGTCAACCACCAGGACGGTTCGTCACAAGGAGCCGTGATAATCTTGGCCTTAGATCAGGATCTGCTTGAAGGGCCCTGTGCGCCTTGATGGCTCATCTGGTGGATTGCGGCAAGTTGCGGAGGAAGGCCAACTCCCCGTTAGCGGCGGAGACCCAGTCGTTGCTGAAGGGCCTGGGCGGCGTGATGTGGACCACCTGCCGCTTAAGGAGGACTTTGGCCTCGAGCTGGTGTTGCAGCGCTCGGATAGCGACGATGAGCTTATAAGCGAGCTCTCCATCGTGGACGCAACGTCGCTCTACGACCACCCGACCCGAGACGGCTCCCCTGTTCAGGATAATCTGGATGTGAGCATTGCCAAGGAGAGCATAGATGGACTCGGGATGAAGGTTGGCTGGGTGGATCACCAATCGATGATCAATGGTCGGAGCCGGAGCCAACAAAGGCCGCGATGATCCAGCTGCTGACTAAGGGCAGTTACGAATTGGTGATTGGTGGCCGAAGAAGATCGAATGGAGGATCGACGTGAGAGAAAGGAGCGGGCCGTGCAAAACGCCGGTAGCGGGCACAGGCAACTAAGAGTTTTGGGAGCTGTTAACGGAGCTTCCGCTTAGTGAATGATCGCTTGACGTGTGGCCGCTTCGGCTACGACCAGTGGGCCCTCTTGAGCTGTTGTGTCTGCTGCAGCAAAACATCTGCGAGCGCATGTGCTTGCCTCTGTGAGTGCCGAAGCTTTGCCATTGGGGAAGCGTTTGCATGAAGAGGTTGGAAGAGCCAAGTTGCAGACGCATCTCCTACCGCTTGAACGAGGACCCCGCCCCGCCTCGCCGCACCTCTCCGCCTCGCCATGCCCAGCTCCATACAGGATGCTTCGGGCATCGAGGTGCGGCTGGAGGTGAACTTGCGCCGTGCATTCGCCAGGATGCTGAACCTCAGGCAAGCGCCCCCACACATGCGCATAGTGAGGGGGTTAGCTGTTAGCTCTTCCGTAGCTCGTGAGGTTCCCAGCTGCGGGCTACGAGGCTGACTGGCGCGTCTGGAGTGGATCGCCTCCTGACCTTCAAGTTCTGCCAAGCCCGCCAAGCCCGACTTTCCGCCTCCTGGACAATAAGCTGGACCGCAGGCGGAAACAGAGCAGCCCGAGATGAGTGCAAGTATGGAGATGTGTGGGGTGTACGATGGTGTACGTGCAGGCATGCGCAACCACCGAATTTCCTGTTGCCGCTGCGACCGGAGCAGCTGAGATCGCTGCAATGGATGGTTCAGCAGGAGCTGCGCACAGCTCTCGGCATGAAATCCGATCAAGAAATCTTTTGATCTCAGGAGCTTGGTGACCAACTCCTCACGATGGCTCCTCGCGATTCCAGTCTTTGTTTTGTGCCCGCCAAGATTCGGGAGTCCACGCAATTTTGAGCGTGCTGCATGAAAGCTCTACGGCTCTGAGCTTACTGTACGGGATGCAAGGTTTATCGATGTTATTGGCAGCGAGAACGTGCCGAAGAGGCGGAGGGAGATAGTGGGCTTCCAGAAAAGCGACAAAAGGTGAACCCAAACACGCTCGTCGGCTGTTGGTGAGGGTGCTCCACGAAGCCTGGCATTGGATTGGACGTTGGACTGCCGCGTGATCGCCTCCTTCAAGGCTGTCGGCTCGCTCATTTACTCGGGCTGCGCCGACTGCCGTTCCTTTCTCTTTGGCCCAGGCGCGTGGAGGCGTGTTGGCCGATGAGCGGCCTGGCAGAGCTACGTGGCCATGCGATGCGATGCCAAGCCTTCCTCTCGCTGAAATGCGCTGCGCCGCAGACTTCGAACACCGAGGATAGGCTATGGAAAGACAGCTTTGGCAATAGCACTGCTAGATGTGCTGCATGATGCTTAGAAGCATTGGGGGTGTTTTTCGTGCCTTTGTATGTGCCGTCCGCTTGACCCAGAATCTATATAGAACTCTGAGGGACACTCCGTTCCGGAAGATTCTGAACCTGATTGCGACTTCTTTTTCCCCTGCAACAGCACGCTCATTTGCATGCCTTCTCATCTTCATGGCATCTCTGAGCGAATGGCCGCAGCTTGTTGCCTCCTGTGGCACCGGACAGCTCTTGAGAGTGTGAAGCCAAGGGCAATGGGCGGAAGAATTCGTCAAATTCACGGGCAGCACGTACAAACTTTTGAGTCTGAGCAAAGAAGCAGACTTGAAGAAAACGACGGTCAGGACATGCACACCCGTCTGCGAAGAAGTTAGCGTACCAATCCGAAGAGAGGACCATCCTGGAGACGGATGTTTGCTTGTGCGACTACCAGCTGTTTCAAAGAGCCTTCTATTTGAAGCGGCGCCACGAGCTCGGCGAGCTCGGAGCTACCGCCACTCCGGAAGCAAACTTGCAAGACGCCCCTTGGACCCAAAGCAGAGCCCATGGTCCCAAGCAGGCGCGGAGTGTGCTTGAAGTGCCGACTATGTGATGGATCATAGTTGCTGCTGCATTCGGATCTTGATTTCATTGCGACGTCTCAAGCTTTTGAGTGGGGGCCGTGCTTCGACTGTCGTGACGGATGATGCATCCACCTATAGGGAGGGGGGAACGAAGAAGACACATGCATGCAAGATCAAGGGGGAGGAGGGGAAGTAGACGCCGTCGTCATTGTTGTCGTTGTTGTCGTTGCTGTCGTTGTCGTTGTCGTCGTGGTCGTTGTCGTTGTCGTTGTCGTGGTCGTTGTCGTTGTCGTTGCTGCTGCTGCTGGTGGTGGTGGTGTTTGGTGTTTGGTGTTTGGTGTTTGGTGGTGGTGTTGGTGTCTACCTAGGAGTTTGGGGCCAAGAAGCCAGCGGACGACGCCTCGTTCAAAGCGCTGCAGTGTGCAACCTTCAACTTTCTCCAACAGCCTGAGAAGCACAGCTGGAGACGCTTCCTGAAGGAGACCTCTTCTGGGGAGTCTTGGAAACAGCTTCGTTTTCCGGTGTTGGAGCAATTCTTCTGGAGACGGGTGGTTTTCGATGAATGTCATGAACTGCATGGAAGCGACCTTTGCCGCACATTGTGTTTTCTGCGGGCACACCATCGTTGGGGCCTGACCGGGACACCGGTGTCTCGTCGGCAGTTGTGAGGCACTCGATGGGCTAGGTAGTCAGGTAGTCGCCCTCACATGCTCTCATGCTCTGAATCTGAAGGCTTTGCACGGCATGAAGCACATCGCCAACATGGCATCCCTACTTCGGATCGAGCTGGCCGGTCCTGGCAGATTGCGGGAGAATCCCGTGCTGGCCGAGAAACTCGGCCAGACACGCTTCGCCAGAGAACCATGTATGTGAAGATGTCTAAACCTTCGCAAAACGATCATATTGAGGAACTGCGGGCGTTTTCTGGATTCGTGCGTCCGGCAGAACAGCGCGGAGCTTCCGAAGCTTCGCATCATCCAGCATCTGAAGTTTGTGCGACATACAGCGCAGGAGTGTCTCGGTGCAGAGATGTTGAGCGACTGGATTGGCCGCAGGGCCTGGACTTGAAGAGAGCCGTTTGAGATGCGAGGCGTGCACTCTACCTGTCGGCGTGCAACAGCGACGCCGACAGCGATGGCATGGGCATCGCACGGAAGCTCTTGCAACTCTGCTCCCATTTCTCCCCGCAGGAACTCGCAAAAGACGCCGACGAGGCATGTGGTCGCCTGCTGAAAGCCAAGCAGCAGGAGGCCCACGTTACGTCCATCCGTCAATGTGTCATGTATGGCGTCATGCCGCAGACTTGCGAGCTTTGGCCACGGAAGGCTGCGATGGCTAAGGAGGAGCTGAGGCAAGCAGTCCTTTGGTCAGAAGGGCTTCGGCGCCTTGGCAACAGCTTGCCGCTGCGACAGCATGCGCCGACTGCGTCACATGCCGCGTGCTGAGCGCTCGAAGTCTCCAGATCTGAGGGCCTGGGAGCCCCTCAAGACACTTGCGAGTCCTTGCTTCCAAGGAGATGGAGGAGGCGGAGGCCATTTTTTCTTTCTTGGAAGCGGTGCGCAAAGAAGCCAGTCGCCTGAGCCCCTCGGCGGCCAAAAGGAAGAGGTGCCAGTGCCCACTGTCGCGGGGGTGCCTTCCACGCTCCGAGGTCCAGCGGAGCATCTGAGGCTCCTGAAGGGCGCGGGATCCTCCTGGCAGCGCAGGCTCCGGCAAAAGCTGCAGAGAGCCAAAGAGAAGGCGGAGAAAGCTCCGAAGGAAGGGACGGAGTCGGAGTCCAAGGAACTTCTTGAAGAATTCAGTGAGGCCCTTGACTTCGAAGTCCGTGCCGTGAAAAATCTCACGGAAAAAACGCGGCGCCTTCGCTTCCTTCAGCGCACCCTGGCTCTTGTGGGAAGCGAAAACAGCCCGGAGACCTCCAATCTGCGCTCCTGCAGCATCTGCTACGAGGACAACCTCGACACCTTGCCAAAAAGGGAAGGGAAAGACCTTTGGTGTTCTGCTATTCTGCTATGCACTCATCTGCAGCTGAGGAACTTGAGCAGCTGGGCATCACGCCATGTGCAGCTTGATTCAAGCTTGCCGCTTGTAGCTGCATCATCCCGCCAAGGGCAAGGTGCTGATGCTGCCTTCAACTGAGGCCCATGTCTTCTGTCTGCGTTGCCTTCACGAGCAAGTCGCCAAGAATCAGCAGTGTGGCCTGTGCCGGCAGCCCCTGAAGAAGGCAGGGGAGGGCTGCGGCTGCTAGCGCCGAGTCCGGTCCCGAGTCGCAGGTGGATATCCAGCCGTTGATGCTGGAAGTGAGCCAGGAAGGGGAAAGAACTCAAGAAGGCCGGTTATCCGCGTGCTGCCTTCCTTGCCTCTTGCCTGTCACGGCCCCTGGCTGTCCTCCCTCGGCTCTGCCGCACAGCACACTGCTCTCGCAGAGCTACCTCGAGCTTGTTGGAGGAGCTACTAGAGTCTACTTACTGGAGCCTTTCTGAGTGAAAAAAGATCTGTTCCCCCTTTCGGAAGGGAGCAGATGTTCGTGAACAGGATTGAAAAGCATTCACTCTTGTGGCGCGCGCGCACGCGTGCGTGTGTGTGTGTGTGTGTGCGCGCGTGCGTGCGGGCGTGCTGCACCATGACCCAGATGGCCACGAACCGGATGCGTCGTGGCGCGAACATGGACTTGTTTTTGCCTTACACCACACGTGCACGTCTTCAACTATCCAGCATGCATCAAAAATCTCTCTCAACTTTGACACGGAAGTAGGGAAGTAGCATCGGCTTCTGTCCTCAGGCGCAAGCCCAAGCCGCTTCGGTCAATTCGGCAGCAAGCTGGGAGCCATCGTCCTCCAACTGCAGGAGATCAAGGACGAGGTCCGCAGTCCCTGTCTCGCCTGCCAGCGGCGTCGAGCCGAGCGTTGCGCCCGTAACCGTAAGGATCCCTTGGCCAAGTGCATCGTCTTCTGCCACTGGGCAGCATGCCAGCCAGCCGTCTCGGTGTTCAGCATGTGCTGTGACCTTGTCCAGGCCAGTGGGAGAGCTTGCTGCAGAACATCGCAGCTGCTTTCAGGACCTTTGGCATCCGCTTTGCCCGACTTGATGGCTCGGTTTACGCACGCACACGGACGCTGGCCAACTTCAAGGGAAGGGACTCTGCTTCGGTGGACGTGCTGCTATTGTCTCTGGAGCAGAGTGCCAGCGGAACCAACCTGACCTGTCCCTTGGCCAAAGAGCCCTGGCATGCTTGCAAGTGCGAGTGCGCGTTAGTGGACGCGGCCTGTCCTGCAGGTGCCAATCACGTCATCTTTGTGCACCCCATGAGCGCGCAAACACAGCAGGAGTCCATCGCTTTCGAGCTCCAGGTGACTGCGGGAAGCGCCCCAGTGCCATCCGTGCCCCACCGTGCCGATTTTGATGTGCCGCAGGCGATCGGCCGTGTGAGGCGCTGGGGCCAAACTCGCAAGGAGGCCACGGGCTCGGGCCGTGCGGGCTGCAGCCGTTCAGCCGAGCCTCACGGAGCTCCGAGCGTGTCGCAGATCCACATCTGGCGCTTCTGCACCGTGGGCACCCTGGAGGACGCGCTGCCTCGCAACGCGCTCGCAACACGCTCGCTTCGCTCGCAGAGAGAGCTTTTTGCTCACAGGAGGAGATCACACGAAAGCATCAGAAGGACTCTCTGCTCTCGGAGGTTTTGTTATAAGTTGTTGCGTACAGTACCTCTCTCTCTCTCTCTCTCTTCTCGTCTTGATCCAGGAGATCTACGAAAGCTGTCAGTCGCCGAACCCGAAACGGCAGCGAGAGCCGAGCGAGGAGCGAGCTGCAAGCGCTCCTTCGAGAGTGGCCCAGGCCCCAAACGAGGAGCCAAGGGCTCCTTCGGAGCCGAGGAGAGGACCAAAGCGCTTCCGGCAGCGCCTCGCCTCCTCCTCAGAGCGGAGTATCGAGCGAGCGGAGAAGGGCGGAAGGGAACTGCAATGCGCTGCACCCCGGCCTCGAGGTGCCCCAGCCCGTGCCGCTGGACCTCTCGGAAGTCTTCTCGAGTCGCGCCGTCCGGCGGACCGAGCAAAAAAAGCGCGGCGCGCCGCGGCTCGGACCTCTCACGCGTGGGGACACAGCCTCACTGTGCCACACTGACACTGGCATGTTTGCTGCCGCAAGGGCCCAAGGAAAGCGTAGCGCGGACGGGGCCTTCCGGCCCCTTTCGGGCTCCTAAGGAGCCGGACTGCGCAGCGAGGCAAGTCACGACACTGCCACCATCACGGCCCCCCACCATCGCTGCTACGACGGAGGTGAACCACGAGAAACAACCAAATGGACACGACGACGACGACGACGACGACAACGACGGTTATTGAACACAATTGTGACTGGGAGGAATAGTCACTGAAGTAGCCGCATGGGGGAGGTACAGGCACTGTAGGCTGCAGGGTGTTGTGAACGGATGTGGGCGAGAACATCTGTGGAATCATGCGAGTGGGGGTATTTCGACAGCTCACAGCTTCAAGGCGTATATACAATGACAAGCTCGTGCTTGCATGTGCTTGCATGTGCTTGCAGGCCTGGGGTTTCAGCGATGGCATCGGGTGTTCTTCGGCGATGACCGCGACACCGCGTCCCCCGAGGACCCAAGAAGGCCGGGCCCCGCCGGCACAGGTGCGAACCTGACTCCAGTCCACCATGGCCTCGGCTTGTCGAATGCAGAGCATCGACTCAGGCGAGAGAACGAGCAGAAATCCCAAATCCTGCCTCAAAAACTGAATCTTCTGCTCGAAGCTGAAGATGAGGCAGCCCCCAAGCAGAGGCAGAAACAGTGCTCTTAAGGGATCCTTGATTTCGGAGTTCTCCGAGCCCTAGAAGCCCTCCCGCCTGCCCGCGTGCTTCGGCCGTCTGTCGTGCCGAGATCATGCCTGACATGGGCGCTACAGAGACAGTCCTTGCAGGGGATGACCGCTTCAAGCTTGCCTCAGAGGCCGACCGGGCCGACTGGAATCGACCGGAAAGAGCACTAGAGCAGCTGCCGAAGCCAGCCCGGCTCAAGGTGCGCTTCGGCAAAGCCGCGGACTTTTCAAGAGGCCGGTTGAAAGCAAAGCGAGATCAGCCTCCTCTCGAGAGAGTCAGCATGAGGCGTCTTCAAGCAGGTGTCCACCGCTGGCTTACTGCGAGCTATGAGCAACCTCCTGGTGCTGAACGTGTCTCGCACGCTCGGCAACTCAGAGCCTCAGCGTTGCTTCGAGATTCCTATGCTCGGATGGGGAGCTGAGACCGCTCCGTTCTGCTGAGCTCGAGACGATCTGCACGGCCTGCAGGGACATGGGTGAATCTTTCGTAATGTCGGCTTGTTCGCCGTCCTCTGCGAGGCGGCACCAGGACTCATCCGTATCGATGCGAGTCGCTGCAGCCAGAGCCCGTCGCAAAGCTGCGAATGGCCACCAGTACACTTCCACTGAAGGCCTGGATGAGTTGCCGCACAGATCGGTCTTCGAGTCTCTGCACAACGTCAAGGCGAGGAGACAGCGCGCAACTCTTCGCTTCGTAGGAAGCTTCCTTCCTTTTGCACATGTCTGCAACGTGTTCTGGGCGTCACGAGAGGTCGCGCTCTTCCACCAGAACATGATCCGCAGGCACAGAAGCTGAGTGAGGAAGTTTCTATCCTGACGAAACACAAGAGAGAGAGAGAGAGAGAGAGAGAGAGAGAGAGCCCGGGGGAAGAAGAGAGAGAGAGAGAGAGACAGGCCCAACTCGTTCGTGGCCACCCCGGTTAGTGGGCAGTTTTTTTCGAGGGCAGTGCTTGACGGGGGGGACAGGAGGCAGAGACGCGACGCGGTTGGATCGCTTCCGCTCCCGAGTCCCGGGGGGGTGTCTCGCACGCACTCCGCACACACTCGAGGAGTGCGGCAAAAAACTCACGACAGAGACAGCAGCTTTTCCCTCCCGTCTCCCGGCCCTGGGTTTTCTGCTTAAGAGGACGAAGAAGACGGGGACTCTCTCGTCCAGCCTCGGTGTTCAAAGCTTCGGAAAAGCTGTAATTTTCATATAATAAGCAGGGTCGCCCCATGGCCCACGCCCCATCAGTCCATTAGAGTCTGATTTTGAATCAGGGGCACCCCATCAGTCCAAGGCTCCATCCTCGGAGTTCAGAGTCCAATATACTTGGTCACACTGTTGTACTCGGCTTTGGTGTCCTGGTTCCACATCCACTGCCGCCATGCCTCCATAACAAGTTCTCTCTTCTCTCGCCACTGCCACCCCCCCGCGGCGACTCAGGATCACCTCCTCGTACAGAGTGACCGCCTCAAAGTTGCGCACAAAATTCGGGTGAAGAACAGGAGCGGAGGAGCGCGACAGCCTCCGCGTGTTCCCGCCTTAAGACCCCAATCTTGGGCAGCTCCAGCATTGACAAGGCCATCACGATGCACGACTTCAATCAGCCAATCGGCGTGCATGCACACACCCAGATTTCAGCAATCAGCGTGAGGCTTGCGAACTGCATAGTCTCGGACACATCCGGATTGCGATTTACCTCCTTGGAAAGTTCGACGACGGCATCTTGCTCGACTCTGCCTTTTTGAAGCTTTTCTCGTGTGTGAGGGCCGTTAGGGAAACCAGAAACAAGCTTGTTGGGACTTCACGTATTCAGAATTCAACAAAGCTGCAGCGACTTTGGAGCTGGCAGTCAGCCCCAAGCAATGCGAGCCGAAAATCTCGGAGTTTTGCTCTTGCGACGTCCAAATGCGGGGAAGATGAAGTAGGAGAAGAGAGCCTGGTTGGCCGCCAACTCACGTTCGAAGTCATTGCCTTCGCTCCGGGTCACTCCTCGCGGAGGTGATGCTTGGCCTACGGCCCATGCCACGCCCCCTCGATTGGTTCCGTTGGCAGGGTAGACTTGTTTGCCGGAAGAGGTGGAGCTGCCCAGCACTATCGTTACAGAACGTTGGGGTTTGCAGCAAAGAGCCGGGCATTCAGTATGACTTCACTTCTCACTTCTCCCATCTTCTCCCACAGTTTTAGACTGCATCCGCCGCGAGGTTCGCCACGCGATGTTGCCACTTCCTAGTGCAAGTTTCTCCACGGCACATGACTGCACATGAAAAATACAAAAACAATCGCTGCAGTGTAAAGGTTGTGTAAAGCATCGCATGCAGCGTATCAGCATATCGGTGTAAATCGGCGTCAGCGGCATGAGCGGCGTATCGGTGCATCGGCATAAATCGGGGTGTGCTGGCATTTTGATCGGCTTTTTCGGCGGCCCATCAGCGTAACTTCTCCCGAATCCACGCCCACGCCTTGCTCCTCCTTCGAATGCTCAAAACCGTTTGGAATGTAAGGCTGAGTATAGCTGCTTGCCGGTTGCTACACCGGGTTCCGAGTTATCCTGACGGGGGGTATCTCCTTCCTCGGATTTCCTTCTGAAGTCGACAAGAGAGTTTTGATGGCAAGTGTTATCCAACAGTACTTCGTTGCCTTTCCGCCTCATCAATACCAGAACCTTGGAGAAAACACGTAGACGGGGACACACGAGGATAAGACTGGCAAGAAACGGGAGAGAAAGGTAAGCTTGATATTAGTGTGACGTTGACTTCAAGTCTTCAAAGGAATGCGTTCCCTTATTCGCTTGTTGTTCTTTGGATTGGCAGATTGGTTTTTTTGGGTATCCTTGCAGACAATGCGTTGCATGTGCATTACATGACATCTTCCACAGAATCAGTTCTGACGCAGATATTGAAGGAGGTCGGCGCCTGCACGGCCTTTTCGCGTTCATATAGGGTGACATGTACCATGCTGCTCCCTTCGCCCAGCCCTCGCTTGTCGGTTCCTGCTATTCTTCCAGAAAGAAACGCATTTCATTCGTGGGACAGCGCGAAATCAAACTTCGAATCTCCGATCTCAAAAGACTCCCGCGCCATCTGAAGACTGAAGCCTTTTCCCTTTCACGTTCCAGTCCGCCCTCGAGCACTCCTCGTAAAAGACGGCTGGGTTCAGGAATTGTTGAGGCTTGCTTTGTGGTGTGTACGATCGGGTTTGACTTGGGGTTTCGGCGGATCCGCCACATCCAAGCTGCTTCCGTGACATGGATCGAGCCATCCCGGGAAGCAAAGAGCCAGCTGTCCCCATGTGTTGCATGTGCAGGTGGCAGGATGTGCTGAGTTTGTGTGGATGCCCTGTGGCGGTCCTGGAGACCTTTTCATGTGTCTGTGGGTTGGCAAGAATGTCAGAGAATCCGGACGAACTGAGGCCTTGATCTGGTTGACCATCTTCCAAAATCCTGTGGCAGGCGTCTGCTGTCCTGCCGTCCTTCTCCGCTCGGTTCACGTCTGACTAGCAATTTGCGGGGTGTCAGTTTGCACTTCCGCAGACTCGGTCCAATCCCGGGATTGGTATTAATGTTGTATCGGAACACTTTACCGTGTGTCAGCTCACCTACCCAGTCGTCAGAAGCCTTGCATCTTCAGAGATCTTGTCCTTGGTTTGCCATAAGCATAGCGAGAGCGGAAGCTGCGTCTCTGCGGTTTCGCATCTGCAGGGCAGCAGGCTGACAATTAAGAAGTTAGAGCACAAAGCGATGGGCGTGCTGATTTTTCTGCAGTGTAATCAAAATCAGGGTCATGCGCACCATCATGACGCTGTTTCATTGCACATCCCTGGCATGTGCCTGCCGAGAAGGTGATCCTACGATTCGGTCTGTGGTGTTGGAGGAAAAGCCGTCGATTCTGGCAGTCTGGCCCTGTGATGTGCTTCATGTCCCGTGCAGTTGCAGAGCATTGAGGTGGACCACCGCATGGTAACGGAGCCAGAGCGCCTGGGGCCAGAGTGGGATGTGCCTGCCCAAGCCTTTCGATCAATCTTCTGGGCTTGAAGCTTGTGGAGCGGGATTGAAAAACGTTGAAGCCAGCAGCAATCCCCACAAAGAACACAACGGCCAGCGGTGGCATGTTTGATCCCAGACAGAAAGCGCCAACCTTCGACGGATAGGCCGCCGGAAGACAGCAGGGCCAGTGCAAAGGTATGGCTCGTAAGAAACGAACCAGCAGTGCAGGAGGCGCAGTGTCAAGCGGAGAGCAGCAATTTGGGGAGCCGCGGTTTGCGGGAGCGGCTCGGCGTTTCTCGAGGTGGTCTGGTCCGTGCTGTCCCGGTCCACGCGCTTCGGGGCCAGGCGCCGCGCCACACTGCTCTCGGCTCCAACGGCTCCAACTCTTTCGTCTCTCTTGTTGTCTTGCATTGCGTTCTTCGTTTTTCCATTAGGGGGTTCTCAACTTGAGGCTGCTGGATCCCGACTATTTGGATCTGGAGGCCCTGCCAGCGCGATGGCGCGACGAGCTCCCTGAAGGTCGTTTCCTGCGTGAGCAGGTCAATGGCTCCAGAAGAAGCTTGGCCTTTGAGCAGAAGGCTCTGATTGTTTGATCTGCGGCCTGGCCTCATGCGGCTCTCCCCGGAAGGATGACTTTATGATTCGTCTTGCGCTGCAGGAGCTGGCGAGTCATGTCCGAAGCTTGCTCGAACGGGTCTATAGCGTGCCGCAGGAGATCCGTGTCATGGAGGGCCATCATCAGAACGCATCCCCGGCACGTGGGCGACCGACTTGTTTGGCGAGTGCGGTCGGCACTGCCCGTGCTGCAGTTGGAGAGCGTTCGACGGACCGAGGCTGCATACAGGCCCGCGCAGAGCATCTCAGCGTCCGGTGGCCAGTGGCGGCAGCGAATACGGGAGCTTAGTCCCCTTCGCAGGCTGTTTGGCGTGGATTTCATATGCGTCAATCCGTGGAGCAGCAGAAGGTTCAGCACCCATCCCGCAAGACGAGCCTCTGTTGAGCCCCTGATCCTTTCAGGCTCGAATGGTGAAAGCTGCAAGAGCGCTGCAACGTGGGGCTCGGTTCCCAAATTTCCCTGTGTAACTTTTCGTTTCTTTTAGCCATGCTGTGCAAAGTACATGACAGGAAGCTCTGAGTATTTGTCGATCTGTTTGTGATGCCCTATTGATGGAGAGTGGCCTGCCTTCTTCTGGAGAGTGGCCTGCCATGGGGCCTGGGATTTTTGATTAGTGTGTGGCGTTCTACAAAATTACGCTATGCCGCTATGCACGCGTGTATATTTCATGGCTACCGCCAGTGCTGCCGACCCCCCATGACCAGCGAGCCGCCGGTCCTACTACTACTACTACTACTACTACTACTACTGCTACTGCTACTACTACTACTACTACTGCTACTACTACTACTACTGCTACTGCTACTGCTGAAAACCCTTAAACTCCAACTCGTAAGCCCTAAACCCGAAACGTCAACCTTGAAGCTTTTTTCCTAACAGCCCGAAGAAACCAGAAAACCCTACAGTAAGCCTAAACCCTAATCGAATTAAATTACTCCTACTCTAATCTACCTACACTAGATGAAAGCCCAAAAATCATCGAATTCAAGTCTCGCTGGGGGACCCTTGAGGGCGCCGCAGGCGGTGAGTGCGCTGAGGGGGGGTGGGGGGTTGGGCCTGCCTTGGGCTCGACTTAAATACTGTGAAAGGTGAAAATCGTTACCGGGCCTTTGTTTTTGCCAGCAGTCAAGGGGGAATAAACAAAGAAGAAGGCGTCTTTTGGCGTTTAAGTAACCCCAACTTTAGTACGAGGGGATTTCTGGATCGCATCGATCCAGCGCACAAGCTTGTGGTTGTGCTGTCACTTGTGTCTCAGGTTGGTGCTTGTGAAATCCAGCGTCTACATGGGGAATGGCTGGTTTTGATGTGCCGTGATGCGATTGGTGTGTCTCGAACGGGGTGCTTGTGGAATCGCATCGATCCAGCGTGCAAGAGGGGATTCCGCTAAAACCATGATGCCAATGTGTGTCTCGACCGAGTGCTTGTGGAATTGAGCGTCTACCTAACGAATGGCTGCTTTTGATATGTTGTGATTGTCATGCCGCTTGTGTCTCGAGCATGGACATGGGGGAACCGGTTCTGCGGCCACTGCGGTTACTACGAGGGGAGGGTTTAACTCGCATCAATCTTGTTGAGGAAATGCACATCTTTCTGCGTTGACACTGGGGTTAAGCAATGCCCGCCCGGCTTGGCACACATCCAAACATCAACCGTTGCAGGGTCCTCGCGCGGGCGTGTACATGGGGATACCGTGCAAACGCTCAGAAGGCAATTCGCTAGAAGTCGTGTCGAACCGGCAAGCACATTGGGATTCCGAGGTAATGCTCGGGAGGCAGTTGTGTACCGACGTGCAAAAGCCAACTAGACTTGACTGAGTATTCCCCGGTGATGTGATTTGCGAGCTAGGCTAAGGCTCTTAGATGTGGCTCCTGACCACTGCCTCGCGCGGACCTGATCAAACGTGTGCATTTAACGACCTTGGGTTGCTAGCGTTCAGAGGGGGAAGCAGCAAGTTTGATGATGTTTGGCGGTCGATTGCTTCCCATTGGCCTGTGCGTTCAGGGGTGTTACCGCTTCCGGTCGTGATTTCCTTGCCTTCGCCCCAACCGGAGCATTCAAAGGCCGCTGCCTGTAATTATTCTTACTCTAACCCACCTACACTAAATGACAACGCACAAACAAAACCATCGAATTCAAACCTCCCTGAAGGCGCCGAGGGCGCTGAAGGGCAGTGCTGGCGCTGAAGGGGGATGGGGGGTTGGGCCTGCTGTGGGCTCGAGTCTATTTGTGATTCTTATTCTACCCTACTTACACTAGGAAGCTTCAAGAGCATCGAATTCTAGCCTCGCTGGGGGCGCTGAGGGCACTGGGGGCGCGGAGGGGGGGTGGAGGGTTGGGCCTGCTTTCGGCTCGAATGAATTTACTCCTGCTCTAACCTTATTACACAAAATACAAGTTTCTGGAGTTTTCTTGCCTTGTGTTTGCCTGTGCAGATGTAACATGGCATCCGTCATTTCTACCCTTCAGGGTTCCGTCTTCACCCCTGCAGCGGATTTTGCAATAGTTTCGCAGCTCACGCGGACTGCCGTGCCTTCTCTAGGGCCTAAAGTACATATCGGTGGCTCAAGGTTCGGCATCATGTGGTGTCACAATTTTCAGGAATTCGGATTCGGCGTCAGGTCGTTTGCCACACTCCGCCTGGCGACCGCCCTCTAGACTCAGACTTTATGCACACAATGATGCTGCTATTCGCTCTGCGCGTTTTTAAGTGGGTTTTGTACGAGGTCATGGGTAGTACATGGTGGCCGCCGTGCAACTGCAGCTGCAGTTGCAAGTTTCCTTGCGCATGTTTTTGCTCTAAGGCTCGACGCCTGTTGTGGCGGAAAGACATGGCGGAGTATGTCAAGGAGCGACAGAGACCAAGAACCTGCGGCCTCGCTGTCTCCTAGTCCTAGGAGTATTTGGGCGAGATCGACGAACTGGACTTGCTCTTGGACGCGAAGGCGCTCCGCAGTTCGCGTGCTCAGCTTCAAGCGCCCCTGTTGCCACCACGTGCACTAGCACCTGAAGAAGAAACTGTCGTCGGGTGCCCTGGCTTTCTTGTGCTGCACGGGTTTCAGGAGATGCTGCGACGCAGGGCGTTGAAGCTCATCGAGGCACGAGCCGCAAGCAGCGGAGGATTCTTGCGAGTGTCAGCCTTCCTGCGCAGCCGGGCTCAGAGATGAGAACCATCCCGGTTCTCGTGGAATTCAAGCATTCCGGCCTCTGCGACTCCCATTTTGGAGGCGCCTGCAGATTTCGAGCTTGTTTTTCAGAAAGTAGGAAGCGTCCATGACTCAATGACTGGACAACGCGACAGGAGCCGAGGAACCCAACCCTCCGAGATCCTCCAAGCTGCAGTTTACTCTTGGGGCTTTTCGGGTCTGGGGATCGAACAGACCTAAGCATCCCGCTCATACAGTGGCTCTGAAGCAAGCGAGTTTCTTTGTTGGGGTCGCCCACGTCTTCTCAAAGCAGACTCGGCTGCCACAGTAAAGGCAGAAATGTGGCTACGGACCGCTCGATGCAAACTTGCGGGAAGCTGATGTGTTTGTGAGAACATGGAGGTCGGCGCTGCAGAAGCACTTTCTGTTGCCACTCCATTGAATACGGGGTCCGATCGATCACCTGGCGCTCTGTGTGGGAGCTGTCCATGCGCGAGGACGAGGACCATCTTGAGCAGACGTCCGGCGGGGAATCAATGAAAGCTGAGCCCACGTCAACGCGTCAACGTCACCCAATCATGTAATGAGTTTGGTGGTGCGTGCCCTCGTGGGATCAGGCTTGCACTTGGATGCACCGTCATCATGGACCGTTGGGGACCTCAGGGCCCGAATTCAGGACAGCGTGACCGGGCGCGAGAAGCAAGAAATTCGGGGAAGAGAGCGCAGGAACTGACGGAAGCACCACTCCTTCAGCAGCGATTGGTCCTCGCTGAGGCGGCCTCTAAAGAAGGGAGAGATCTGCAGGGGGAAATTTCGCGTGTGTTCCCTATTGATCAGCTCTCCAGGCCCTGGAGGAGACCGGCCCCAGCGGCCGCGGCGGATCGCCGTGCTTGGGGGACGGGGAGTTCTTGTCCTCCCTCTGCTCCGGGCGAAACCTCAGCATCGCCGCGGTGCCGAGCTCGGAGCGCCAAAATGCCTGGCGACTGCGCACCTCGGCCAAGCCATGCATAGCGGCCCAAGCCGAGCGTGAGGAGTGTATGATCAGGAGCTCCCAAACAGTCTCCGT